TAAAATATAAAAAAAAACATTACAGTATATAAACTTACAAATCATTTGTTCAGGCTAACTCATTCAATATATCAAAAGTTGTTAGTACATCGTAGCAATATTTTGAAGATAATTTCAGATCTCTCATACTTAGTATATATTGGAACAAAATTTGTATTCACATGTTGAGATATCAAGTATGCGTACCTATTTCTTCAGTGTAATTCTGAACGCTGATTGGCCAAGAGCCGTCGGAAAATTTCTTTCTTTATATTTCTTTGTGCTATATTATAAAACAAATATAAAACTTTTTTCCGTATTGATATACAATTCTATCAACACTTGTGAAGATTGGGAAAACTCGAAATTGTGTGAAAACACTCCGCCCTTCCAGTGGCGGAAATCTCGGTGGGGCCGCCCCCCTCCCACCTTTGTGGAAAATGACGAATTTTCGGAAATTTTGACCTATAAAAGGGCTAAATACAGCCTTTTCGAAAATTTAGAAGGCTTCGCCCCCTCACCGGAAAAAGTGAATTTCCGCCACTGCGGCCCTTCGGGCACAGGCGCCGTGTTTCCACACAATTTCTCGTTTTCCCAATCTTCACTCGTGTTGAAGCGGGCGGTTTTAAGGGTTGGGCCCATAGAAATAATAGATATCTATTATTTCTGTGGTTGGGCCCAACCATAGATATCTTATATACACTAGATAGCGCATCTCATTTAGTAAAATTGAAGCCAAGAATATTTCAGCGGTTACCCCCATTTGAATAGATGGCGGCCATGTTGGTCGTTCCCACTTGCTAATAAACGCTTATAAACAACACTAACTTTCATTATTTGAATAGTTTAAAAACGTATTTGGAATAGGGTTAACTTAATGTTTAAGTTCCCTGTTTAAGAAATAGAAAACATACGAATTTTCTCATTTCATGGGAACGACCTGAGACTGCAATCACGGCTTCAATTTTTGAATTGCAGAATAATTAGATGCACTATCTAGTGTATATAAGATATCTATGGGCCCAACCCTTAAAACTGCCCACTACACAGGCTAATCAACCACTGATTCGAGCCCGCAGTAATTGGCTATTCGCTGTTGCGGTCACCCCAGCCGTGGTCATGCACTGTATTTCATTATGTACGTTTGTTTTTGTCCTGTTATGTAATGTACTGTTTCATCAGCAAAGTTTATAAATTAAATTAAAAATTAAATTAAAAATTAAATGATCTGTACTAATCAGTGATATCAACACGGAAAATGTTTTATATTTGTTATTAAATACAATATAAAAAAAGCATCCCATCCCTCTAAAAGCTTTCATCCCACCGATCAATCCCGAGCACTATTTATAAACATTTCCGAACGTTCCAGAAATTTATGCGCATAATTATTATGAATAATAAATGTCTCAATTATCCAGTTAATAAACTTAATTAGCCAAATACCAAATACCAAAACATAAAATGTTCATTTCCTGCTCGAGTATTATGGCAAATAAATAAAATGGCATTATATTTTGACCATTTAGAGAGCTAAGCCTGACAGAATTATGTCTGTTCTTCGAGGAAAACACTAGAGACGGGTATATTTCGCTTTCGTAATGTCTTGTTTTGAAAAGCTGCCATAATCTGGCCAAGGATTTAGCACGAAATTGCCACGATGGAAACTGCCTTCAAGCAATTTGAGAAAAGAATTAATGCCCTACAAGAATTAGATCAAAATGGGGAATCGGGGTTTGCCCGAGAATTTCAGGTATAAAGGTTTTAAATTTTGCTATATTTTGATATAAATTCACTTGTGTTGTTGTATCTTGGAATAATATGTCGTTATTGGTTTCCATTCAGCGAATATTTAGGATTCCTATGTGCATTAATATGTGCTAGTATTATAGAATATAGCTTATCGTGTGTTATATAGGAATATTAAAAATATGTATGGTAGCCAAAGGTCTGTATCTAAGATTATATAGATTAAAATTATATGAGGCCTTTGCAAGATAGTTGAATACACCCTTTCGATAATTACTTCACACATACTTTTTGGTCTTGGAACCTGGCTCTCATTAGCAAATTATGCCAGATAATTGGCTCACGATTCATGAGAGCGAGGCTCCCAGGCCAAATGACGTAATTATCGAACAAATATTTTACAAATATGTACAGTATATATCTTCCTTAGGCCCGTTTCATACGCCGTACTTCACATGTGCCGAATGCATTAAAGACGATAGATAATGAGCTGAAATGCCTCATTACCTATTGTTTTTAATGTATTCGGCGCATGTGAAATACGGCGTATGAAACAGGCCTTACAAAATTAAAATCGTCAATGAAATCTGGTCACCCATAGCTGCAATTACCATGGAATTACCTGTCAGAATGTAAATGATGCACATGTTCAGCAAATTATGATGATCCAAGCTTTATGGATAGAAAGCTTTGTTATATACAGTACTTATATATGCAATTGCATATAGTATTTTGAGAAAACCCCAAACAATTTAATGCTAGGGGTTGCTTGAAATCAGTGGCATAACTGGCGGGTGTCTGGGTGTAGAGACGCGGGCCCTAGAAAAAATGACCATAAATTTTTTGCTAGTGCATTGGGCAAATTGGCTGGAGTGTCAGTTATAGAGGGCCAGAAAATTTGAAACAGGTGGCCCCCAAAAGTAGGAATGTATGAAATTTGGACCCCTTTTTTTAGCAGACATCGATGGGGAAAATTTTTTGTGACTTTATTTTTTACTTGTTGTAGTCCGGAAAGTTTTTTTGAACCCCTTTTTTAATTAATGAATATGGTTCGAAAAGTTTTTTTCTTCCCCCTGACACTGCCCCCAGCCAACTTTTTTGCGGAAAAAATAGGGCCCCACTTAAAAATTTGACGGGGGCCTCAAGGAGGTTGTGTTACGCCACAGTGCTTGAAATCTAGTAAAATTTACATGGTATCTGATTTTAACACATTGAAAACAAATGTAAGGAAAATTAATAATTGTGTTGGAATTGAAGCATTTACACATTGAGTCAGAAAATTAGATCCACATTGCCCAACAGAGGATTAATTTCTGCTGTCCGGAGGGGGGGAATGTGTTTCTGATAATAGTAAGTGTATTATGATGTCCAAAGGGGATAATTCAGGGGTTAACTTCCAATTTCCTCTGTGAGGGAGCTCAGCACAACTCCATATCAACATGCACTTTTAAAACTCTACAATTTCTCATGTATTCAGGCGCTCAGACAGACATCGTTCAAGTATAAAGCGAAAGGAAACACTGCCTATGCGACGAAAGCCGGAGAATGTCCTGTTAACAGAGCCAAGAACAGATTCAAAGATATTTTACCATGTAAGAATTACATATTTATGCACCTCAACAAAATTTTGAACTATGATATTGATTTCCGATCCAAAAACGAAATGATGAAATATAAATTCTCCTAAGTTTGCATTTATATTAGCTATAAGATACTATAAATATATTCTTTTTATATGATTTTAGTTGATTACTCCAGAGTCACGCTTCCATCGACTGATGATGACAATTCCGATTACATCAATGCTAATTTTGTCCAGGTACATATGATATATGGTTACACATACCCTGGATTCCAGAGCCTTCGACAGTAAATAATCAATCGAAACGTCGCAAAGGCTCTGGTTCAGTGGGGAGATTCTTTGATTAAACCGCGCCAATCACAAAACAGAATCAATTTATTATTTACTGTCGAAGGCTCTGGAATCCAGGGTAGGTTACACATGACCCTTGACAGAAGTACAGGCTGGAGCATCTCATTTTTCGCAAACCAAATTTTCTGATGCATTTGTCACTGGGGACCCTCACCCCCCCCCCTTCCCCCACCCCGGAGATACAAGGGGACTTGATGAGGATTAGATGGGGATTTGAAACTTTTTCTTGCCCCAGGAGGTGGGGGATTTTTACATTTTAGCAAATCATCTCAAGCAGGAGGCTGGTACCGAATTCGCGACCGCATTGCAAAATGGCGGCTTTTGAAGGTCAACTTGAAGACTTTTATTGTTATGTAAATGCATTTATATGTTGCCTCTTTGTTCTGGTATTTATATCTCAAACTATCATTCAGACATTCCAACTCTCCCAATTTTACCGGGAGTCCCCCGAAAATTCATGCAATCTTCCGGTCTCCCGATTTTTATCAAATTCTCCCGATTTTTCAGAATATTCAGGAAAGATCATAAAAATTTATAAATATACTGTTTTTAGCAACATAATAGTCTGTCTCCGACCTTTTTTGAAGTTACTTTATGGCAATTTATAGGATCAATTATAACAACATAGTCCCAAAATGCAGGAAACGCCATTTCAGAAGACTTAATTTTTATTATTTTTCCTAGAAGAACTAGATTTCAATTCACTGAACAGTCTCCCTAAATTTTACCTCCAGTAGTTGGAATGTCTGATCATTTGCATGTGTAAAAGTTTGGTCGTTTAATTTTTGTTTTAAAACAGTTGAAGAAAAAGTTCTCTTGATTCATTTTTATATGAACATTGTTTTATTTTTTAAGATTTGTCGTCAATAAATGTTATTGAATATTACGCTATTGAAAAGTGCTCAGTAGGGGTTTAGACGGGTTAGACTTTATGTTGGTCCCCATGTTATGGGGCATTTTTGCAGATTTTTTTCACTTGGAGTCTAATGCCCCATGTATGCCCGGGGTGGGGGTGGGGGGTTGGGCTTCCCAGTGACAAGTGCATTACTGAGCCTTGGCAATGGAAGACATGGAACAATTCCAAAAATATTCTTCTAATTCATTTGCTCACATGAACCAATTAATTTGTGAAATATAATGCCATATTACCATCAAGTTCCTGGATTTGATAATTTCTGGTCATTTCTTGCCTATGATTGGTCAATTGCACCAAAACCAAAGATGATTGGTGCATTCAGCATCAATGGATTATTCCAGCTATAGACGAAATTTTGATCCAGACAAGAAAAGCGGAATTCATTACCATAGCTGGAAAGAGCATCTTAAAATGAGTAAAATTGCAAAGTTTGGTTGCGAATTGTTGTAAAATGAAGAAAATATAGCCCTGTGAAGTTCGCAAATTTTGTATATATTTACATTTTACCGTGCGTAATACAAATGTCAAATAGATACAAAATTTGCGAACTTCACAGGGCTATATTTTCCTCATTTTACAACATTTCGCAACCAAACTTTGCAGTTTTACTCATTCTAAGACGCTCTTTCTAGCTGTGGTGTTGGATTCCGTTCTTCTTGCCTTGATCAAAATTTAGCCTATACCTGGAATCACCAATTATAGACCTTTCCAGTAATTACGTCACAACTACATTGTTTTCAACTTAGGACCACCTTAAATCACGCTTAAAGCTACGTTTACACGCTGCGACTTGTCGGCCGGGCCGATTTTGGCAAATAAACGTTGCCCCTTCTTCGACATTTAGCGATTTAAACGTTCAATCGAAGCTGTCCGCTCTCTCGTCTGTTCATATTATAGTTTTCTGCGTGCGAAACGTTTTCAACAACTTTACAACGGAAGAAAAATTGTTGAATCGTGAGAAAAATCTGTGCTTTGCTACAGATTTTTCTCCCGATTTTGTGAATCGCAAGGCGCTGACGCGAGTACTCACGACAGGTTATTTACATACAGCGAGCAAAATCGGCCCGACAAATCGCAGCGTGTAAACGTACCTTCAAGTTTTTTTCTCACTGGCTATGCGCAAAGAAGCAGAACATCCTTCCTTAACCATGTATGATGGAAAATGTATTATTTTGATATTTTTCATGCATCAGTGTTGAAAAAGGATGTTCTGCTTCTTTGCGCATAGCCAGTGAGAAAAAAAACTTGAAATCCATTCCATTTGACCCCTAAGTTGAAAACAATGTAGCTGTGACGTAATTAGCGGAAAGGTCTATTGCCTTTTGGGGGTTTTCAAATAACCCATCAAATCAATTAGTTTGTGTGAGCAAATGTACTGGTAGAATTATTTAGGAACGAACTTCCATAATTTAAACGTTTGGGTAACTTTTCGAGTTCGACCTTTTTAAAGTCCAGTAAGGATTATCTCTTGGCAACTTTACTACTAAACTAACTTTAACTAATTTTATTTATTCTGGATAACTCTATCATTTCTAAACTGTTCTTCCTAGAGGTCCAGTAAGGATCATCTCTTATTGATTCAGTGTTACTACATGCAGGAGGAAACCTAAACTAAACTAACTTTATTGATACTGGATAACTCTATCAGTTCTAAACTGTTCTCCCTAGAGGTTCAGTAAGGATCATCTCTTATTGATTCAACTAACTTTATTGATACTGGATAGCTCTATCAGTTCTAAACTGTTCTTCCTAGAGGTCCAGTAAGGATCATCTTGATCTTATTGATTCAGTGTTACCACAGGACGAAACCTAAACTAAACTAACTTAATTTATTTATACTGGATAGCTCAATTTACAACTTTAAACTGCCCACCTATGTCCAGGTAGGGTGTTGCTTAATGGTCCTGTGTTATCACAGGAGGAAACCAGATTACTCGGAGAAAACGTGTGATGTTTGGCAGAGTCTGAATGAGACAACTGCTCATTACAGATAGGAAAGACTCATGTGCCTGGTTCCAATAGTCTTTTTGTAATTGATGAAATTTAGGGAGTTGATGGTGAAAAGGTATACATTGCTTCGCAAGGACCTCTGCCTCATACAGTCAATGATTTCTGGAGGATGTTATGGGCGTATAAAGTCAAGGTACTTTCATTGCATGATACAGTGTAACGACAACGACACTAGAGCTTACCATATACATATTTACTGAGTTTTATTATATAATGTATAATGCTTTATGTACTATTTAAAGCACGCGTAGGAGTGTTTTATCACATATTAAGCACGACGCGTAGCGGAGTGTTTTATATGTGATAAAACACGACTACAAGTGCTTTAAATAGCTTCAAAAACGACTCATCTTTTCCGAGTTCATTGGCGAAGTAATTTTTAAAATAAACGTTATCTAAACCGATAAAATCAAAGCTAAAGTTTATGTAAATTAACGTGATTTTTTATCACATATAAAACCACGACACGCTTATGATTTTTCTTTGTGTTTTGCTCCTGAATTATTAAATTAATGAGTTTTTGAAAGAGATTTCGAGCACTGATAAAGCTGATAATCTCACATGTGAGATTATTTATGATAATTTCACATGTGAAAATTATCGCTTTTCAATTATCGCTTTTCAATTATCGCTTTTCAATTATCGCTTTTCTGTAAAAATTATCGCTTTTCAGAGACCGTCCTAATTTATATAATAAACAGAAAAATACATGGATGCTTGGAATTCGCTGCGCTCACTCGTGAAATATCATGTTCAACACTCGAAATAAATCTTGTATTCCCGCGCACCCAAATATTATTCTCTATTTAATGAACAGATGCATGTTAACGAAGAATTAGATGTGGCTAAAACATCATTGATGTATTTTAAGGTTGTTGTGATGTTATGCCGTGAGGACGAAAATGGCAAGGTACTACATTTTCCAAAATTCGAAATGTACAACTGTATGGAAAGGATACAGTGTTTCAAATTGTGTTCATTATTCATGTTTTTGCACATAAACAACTCGCTCACAGACACAGTTCGCTGAACAACTCGCTCACAAACAAGACAATTACATATACCGGGCTGGGTACGCATGTAAAAATCTCACAACTTGTCAACAAGTTGTACAGTAACAATGCTGTTATTTTATCAAGTTACTATACAAGGTTGTCACTCACAACTTGTTAACAAATACACCCTTTCGATAATTACGCCATTTGACCTGGGAGCCTCGCTCTCATGAATCTTGAGCCAATCACCTTGCGTAATTTACTAATGAGAGCGAGGCTCCAAGAACAAAAAGTATGTATGACGTAATTATCGGGTGTATTGTTGAATTGCAGGACGATAACAAGTTGGAACAACTTGTAACAAGTCTGTTGAGCTCAGCATCCTTGTATATACAAGTTAAGTCGTCAATAAGCCGTTGACAACTTGTCAGTAAGCTGGGAACAAGCAGTATCAGACTTGTTACAAGGTTGCACATGATATAACAAGAATGTTACAAGGTTGACGACACAAGATTGTAACTATATTGTTATATCACGACTGTATCGGACTTGTTAGAACAACCTTGCAACAATTCTGATAATATCAACAAGCTTGTTACACGTTAACAGCTTGTTCCAAACTTGTTGACAACTTGGGGCAAGCAGTGCGAACACAACTTGTTGACGGCTTGTCGGCGCGTGTAGTGATGACGTTGTTGATACAATCGTGATTATTTTAGAAAAAATGTCAACGATACTGGTGCGAAAGTGACGAGGAGAAACTGAATTTTGGTGGAATTATCGTCAGAACCGTAAGTCATTTCAAAAGAATCTCAGTTTTCTTTTGTCTAGGGTGGTTAATCTTTAATGGGACAACAAGGAAAGAATTGTTTATACTATATAGTTATAGCTACAATTTTAATTTATATCCCAGCAACTTTAAACTCAATAGAGCGTCTTGTTTGTGATATATTTGTTTGCAACATTGTACTGGCTTTAAAATTATGTACAAGGTTGTCTTTTCACACCGTAAAACCTAGACCTTTAAATGTGAAATGATTGGCCATTTTCAACTCATAGTTGTTAATACGATGAATTTTCATTTGTGAATGGACCAATCCCCAATTAACCAAAATTTTGAACTCAACAAGTCTAGACAAAAATTTCATCACAGCTTAGAAGAGCATCACAAAATTAGTAATATTCCAAAGTTTCGTTTTAAAATGTTGTAAAATGCGGATAATATAGCCTTAGATTACAAACGCGTAATACAAAATGACTGAAAATTACAAACTTCGCAAGACTATATTATCTGCATTTTACAACATTTCGCAACGAAACTTTGGAATGTTACTAATTTTGTGATGCTCTTTCAAGCTGTGATGAAATCTATGTTTAGGCTAGTTGAGATCAAAATTCTGGAAAAGTGGTAACCATTTCCCGCTCGTAATACAAAATGAATGAAAATTGCAAATTTCGCAAGGCTATAAAGCCTATATTATCCGCATTTTACAACATTTTAAAACGAAACTTTGGAATATTGCTAATTTTGTGATACTCTTTCATGCTGTGATGAAATTTTGTCTAGACTTGTTGAGTTGAAATTTTTTTTTATTTGGGGAATGGTCCATTCAGTTCTCATTTGTAAATCGGTTTCGAAATGAAGAATATCGGGAAATTATTGCGTCGCTAATGTACAGTCTTTGTCCAAATTCGTCAATGCAGACTGGTTGTCTACACATGCATTAACTATGCATCAGCCGGCGTTTCGGGCCTTACAAAGCATCCGAATATGGACTTTACCGTCTGTAGTCGTTCTCGTCGTAACACTGTATTTCGCCAGAACAGAATGAGGCAGTTGAATGTGGAGTTAGCATTTGCACACGTTGCGAACCAAAACTTGAACCACATGTCGTATTCGCCATTTAATGGTGCCTTACGTATCAAACTATAAAGATGAAATATAATTTGCGGAGACAAACAGGCAAAGAAACAAAGAACGGCCAAGGAACATGTCGAAATTTTCTTCACATTTTGCTTGTGTTGTTGCATCTGTCGGTCAGCCGTGGGGCTTGGTGCAATTACTCTTGCTTCCCTTGCTTTTGACTTGGCAATGACAAACGTTTTGTAGTTGGAGTAAATGAATAACAGCAATAGAAGTGATAAATTAACTATTATGACAGTGTATCTTGATGCCAGATGATTTAGAGTTACAGTCGACTGTGCGAATATACTATAAATACCAGAAATGTTTGGAAATAGAGTAGTCTTTTTTTCGTCACCACGCGTTCGTGGAAGAAGGGGTAACTTAGAGCCAAGAAACGTTCCATATTTAGTGTTATAAGTGCATGCACATATTGCAAATCCGGAGAATAGCATGTATATGTATGCCACGATATTTTCCTGAAGTTCGTTATCGCATCCAAAAGACAGAAGAATTATTGCTGTTATTGTTACAGGATGCGTAACGGCGACCACAGCCAGGTCAAAACAGGACAGAACAAGAATCATAAAGTAGCATGTTTTCTTCAGAAGTTGTGACGACCTCCTTAGACTGATTATAACCACAGAATTTAGAAATATTCCAGAAATCATGAATTTTATATTTACAGCACACAGGGAAAATGTGTTAATAATCGTGTTGAGATCCATCTGACCTCACGTCTTGCAGCCGTCTGTTTTCACAAAATGCTACACCGTCTCGTTTGCAAAATAAAGTAACTTACAGCAGAAATTTGCATATATACCAATATAGAAATTTGCATATAAAACAATAAAAAAAATGAATAAGCAACAGCTGATGCGAGCAGACGTAGCCTGCGAACAGGCTCTGTTGGCAGACGTGACGCATGCGAAATGGTTTGTTTTTCTTTCATTTTTCTATATTTTTCGTATTTACATGTGTAAGTCGCTCTATTCGGATTTAAGGTGGTTTGAATTTTTTTTTAAACCTGGCTGAATGTACCACGGCAAAGTATTCGAAATAAATGTTGTTTATCTTTGTTTCGAGTTTCTATTTTCGTCAAGCAATTGTGATAAAAATTAAAACCATGATAATTGATAGACCTGTGTTCTTAAACTGTAAGTCACGTACGATTGATATCGATAGTCAATTTGCAATCAGGCCTTAAAATATCGGTCGGTCACGGACATTGTCCGACCCATTCGCGAAATTGTCCGACGTAGAGAGGAAACCACCGGACATTCTGTCCGACCAAAGTGAAACTGAGGTTTATTGTTTGTCCGACCCAAGTGTATTGGTGTCCGACCGAACTGTAGCTTTGTCCGACGTAAATCAAAATGTACCCTAGACCAGGACTAGAGGCTTGTATGTTAAATGGAAAATCAGAGTACTATTGTATAAAAGGTGAACTGGAAATGTTGTTTTAACGTAGTCGAGCGCGGGGCGGCGAGCGAAATGGTGAAGTGGAAAACGGGCTTAAGTTGTCGAAGTCTTTTTTAATACTGCTGTGCTGGCAAGCAAGTTAATTTTGGCTTGGAAATAATTATGAAAGAAACAAATTATTTAATATCTTTACAAAATTTACCGTTTATTCATTTGTGTCATTCAGACTTATTTCCGAGTCAAAACTGAACTGAAGGTCATCGGACATATGTCCGACCCAAACTCAACGTCACCGGACATTTTGTCAGACGGCCCTGTAAAAGATATTTTAAGGCCTGTGCAATAAGCCGCGCGTAGCTTATTTAGGCTTATCTTTCAACTGGCACATGTACATATGGGCTTATGTTAGCCGTGGCTTGATTGTTAAGATAAGGGTACACGGCACGTACTCAGAACATTCATTATTCATATCTACTCGTTCACATCCACCAGAACAAGAAAATTGCTCTAGAAATCGCACCGACAATTGCAAGTGTAAACGGGGGTAGGTTCGATTCCCACCGTGGCCGGGCATATTTTTCAAGCTCGCCTGGTGTGGATTTACACTCAGAGTAACATCACAAACATCATATTCACCTGAGTACACAACACCAACACAGAAAAAAATCATATCGGGCCTTAATGAATTTTTATACGAGTCGTTCGCGATCTATTTTATAGGCCAGGGCTCCTCACTCGACGATAGGACTAAAACACCATTCTGTAAAGTACGTCACTTTGGCTCTGAAGTCTCGTTTTCGTGTTGTGACATTAGTTAAAGCCCAGCGTCGCAACCACGAGAACGAGGTTGTATAGACCTATACAACCATGAGCAGTTACCAGGGGCGTAGGAAGCTGACCCCCCGGTTCCTACGCCCCTGGCAGTTACGCAAAATGCCATGACTATAGGTCCTCTGGCAGATATATAAACTCCTGACACTCGAGATTCTCGAGAGTGGAATTATCGTGAGAACCGTAAGTCATTTCAAAAGAATCTCAGTTTTTTGTCTAGGGTGGTTAATCTTTAATGGGAGAACAAGGAAAGAATTGTTTATACTACCATTATATAGCTACAATGTTTAATTTATAGTCCCAGAAACTTTAAACTCAACGGAGCGTTTTGCTTGTGATATATTCGTTTGCAACATTGTACTGGCTATATAAAATTATATACAAGCTTGTCCTTTCAAACCGTAAATCCTGGACCTTTAAATGTGAAATGATTGGCCACTCTCGACTCATAGTTACGATGAATTCTCCAAGTCCAATTCTCATTTGTGAATCGGTTTTGAAATGAAGAATATCGCCAAATTGTTGCATAAAATATTTGTTGCATAAAATAAATGTAGTCTTTGTCCAAATTCGTCAATGCAGACGGGTTGTCTTTACGGTACATATGGATCACCCAGCGTCTCTAAATGGGGCCTTACAAAGGCAACAGTCATCCGAACATGGACGTCACTGTCTGTAAACCTTCTCGTCGTAGCACTGTATTTCGCCAGAACAGAATAAGACAGTTAAACGTGGAATTAGCACTTGTGCACGTGGCAAACCAGACCTTTAACCACATGTCGTATTCGCGATTTAACGGTGTTTTGCGTGTCAACCTATAAACAGACAAACAGGCAAACGGGCACAAACAGACAAAGAAACATAGAACGGCCAAGAAACATGTCGAAATCTTCTTCAAATTTTGCTTGTGTCGTTTCATCTCCCGGTCACCGGTTGGTGCAACTCTTTCATCCATAGCTTTTGACTTGGCAATCACAAACGTTTTGTAGCTGAAGTAAATGAATAACAGCAAGAAAAGTGATAAATGAACTGTTGTGACGATATATCTTGATACCAGATGTGTGGTAAGAGCTACAGTCGACTGTACTACTTTTGAAAATTGCAGAAATGCTAGAAAATATAGTAGTCTCTCTTTCGTTACCACACGACCGTGGAAGAACGGATACGTTAGAGCCAAGAAACGTTCGATATTTAGTGTTAAAAGCGCATTTATTGAAAATCCAACGAATAGCCTGTATATGTATGCCGGGATATTTTGCCACAGTTCGTTATTATAATCTCCAAAAGACATAAAAATTGTGTATGTTATTGTCACAGGATGCGTAATGGCGACCACAGCCAGGTCAAAACAGGACAAAACAAAAATCGTAAAGTAGCATGTTTTCTTCCGACGTTGTGACGACCTCCTTAGACTGATTATAACCACAGAATTTAGAAATATTCCAGAAATCATGAATGTTATATTTACAATACACAGGAAAAAGATGTTAATGAATGTGTTGAGATCCATCTGACCTGACGTCATGCAGCCGTCTGTTTTCACAAAATGTTAGACCGTCTCGTTTGCAAAATAGTAACTTATATTATACAGTAAAAATTTGCATATACTTGTAAGAACAATACACGGAGAGTTTAAAAAAATGGATAAGAAACAGCTGCCCCCTGCTGAGGTGACCTGTTTGAAATGGGTTTCTCTTCCATTTTCTTATATTTTTCGGTCTCTCTATTCAGATTCAAAATGGTTTGAATGTCTTTTAAACCTGCCTGCGCCACGGCAAATGTTGTTCATTTATCTTTCTTTCAAGTTTTGATTTTCGTAAATGCTTGCAATTATGATCAAAAATTAAAACCATGATAATTAATTATTATAGGCCTCCCTGCTTACATGTAAGTATAAATCACGAACGATTGATATCAACAGTCAATTTAGGCTTGATTGATTGACTTATTATTAAAAATTAAGATCACATGGCAGTAGAAACTGAATTGCGTGACTTATTACATATATAATTTACTCTAAGACCTTAAAGGTTCTACTTATCTTAAAACACCAAGGCCCCGGTTGTATAAAAAAGTGATTAAAGTTAACTATGATTAAGTGCAAACGTCATCCAATAAGAAGCGCCTATTTTTAGAGTTAATCACTATTTAACTACAAAGTAGTGATTAAAAAAGTGATGAAGAGTTTTATACAACCGACCCCTGTAAATTATTATATTTACAAAATTTCCTTATAAAAATCGTTTAAAAATTTCGTTAGCCTAAAATGTAGATTTCTTATTTGATTGATTATATGCCTTACTACCAGCAATTATAAATGAGTCAGAAAAAACGTTTAGTTTTAGTTCTGGCCCTACTATAAGGGGTTTTGTACCCGCAGGTCATAAGTTTCAGATTCATGTCTGTCCCGTAGCAGATGTTTCAGCTTGCTATCGGGACTTTCCTTTATGTTCTGGAATAGTTTGTTAGTGAGGGCTTCATGATGATCGTCGATGGATTGAATGTTAGCTAACTCCAGGGCGGTAGAGTACGGAACACCTATAGAAAGATACACCTCAACGCTCTTTTCGGGATGCGCTCTAAATCTTCTCTTAGCTAGATATATTGGAAGAGAATAATGGAAAACAGGACAGGCGTAATCCAATGTTGAGCGTATGCATGCACAATAATGTTGCACTGTTTCAGCGATATCTACCCCGGACCGTTTGAGCTGAATCGGAAAATAAAGTTTTTGAAAGGCACTCTTCTCTAAATATTCAACATGATTGTTCCACGTAAGATACGAGTTGAGCATTAGTCCCAAAAGTTTATTCGATTCTTTTCAATGATTTATTGTATTGGTAGCCGTTGCCGTCCTAAAATCGTAAGGTCTCTAATTTTATAGGCCAGGGCTCCTCACTCGACGATAAGTCTAAAACAGCATTCTGTAAAGTAGTTCACTTTGGCTCTGAAGTCTCGTTTTCGTGTTTGTGACATTAGTTAAAGCCCAGTGTCGCAACCACGAGAACGAGGCTGTATAGACCTATATAACCAAGAGCAATTACGCAAGGTGCCATGACTGTAGGCCCTCTGGAAGATGTATAAACTCTTTACACTCGAGATTCTCGAGAGTGGAATTATCGTGAAAACCGTAAGATATTTCAAAAGAATCTTAGTTTGTTATTTTTTACTAGGATGGTTAATCTTTAATGGGAGAACAAGGAAAGAATTGTTTATACTACCATTATATATAGCTACAATGTTTAATTTATAGCCCCAGCAGCTTTAAACTCAACGGAGCGTTTTGCTTGTGTTACATTCGTTTGCAACATTGTACTGGCTTTAGGATTATATACAAGGTTGTCCTTTCAAACCGTAAATCCTGGACCTTTAAGTGTGAAATGATTGGCCATTCTCCACTCATAATTATGATGAATTTTCCAAATCCAATTCTCATGTGTGAATCGGTTTCGAAATGAAGAATATCGCCAAATTGTTGCATCACTAAAATAAATGTAGTCTTTGTCCAAATTCGTCAATGCAGACGGGTTGTCTACAGTAGATTTGGATCATCCAGCGTCTTCAAATGGAGCCTTACAAAGGCAAGAGTCATCCGAACATGGGCTTTACTGTCTGTAGACCTTCTCGTCGTAGCACTGTATTTCGCCAGAACAGAATAAGACAGTTAAATGTGGAATTAGCACTTGTGCACGTGGCAAACCAGATCTTTAACCACATGTCGTATTCGCGATTTAACGGTGTTTTGCGTGTCAACCTATAAACAGACAAACAGGCAAACGGGCACAAACAGACAAAGAAACATAGAACGGCCAAGAAACATGTCGAAATCTTCTTCAAATTTTGCTTGTGTCGTTTTATCTCTCGGTCACCGGTTGGTGCAACTCTTTCATCCATAGCTTTTGACTTGGCAATCACAAACGTTTTGTAGCTGAAGTAAATGAATAACAGCAAGAAAAGTGATAAATGAACTGTTGTGACGATATATCTTGATACCAGATGTGTGGTAAGAGCTACAGTCGACTGTACTACTATTGAAAATTGCAGAAATGCTAGAAAATATAGTAGTCTCTCTTTCGTTACCACACGACCGTGGAAGAACGGATACGTTAGAGCCAAGAAACGTTCGATATTTAGTGTTAAAAGCGCATTTATTGAAAATCCAGCGAATAGCATGTATATGTATGCCGGGATATTTTCCCACAGTTCGTTATTATAATCTCCAAAAGACATAAAAATTGTGTATGTTATTGTCACAGGATGCGTAATGGCGACCACAGCCAGATCAAAACAAGACAGAACAAGAATCGTAAAGTAGCATGTTTTCTTCCGAAGTTGTGACGACCTCCTTAGACTGATTATAACTACAGAATTTAGAAATATTCCAGAAATCATGAATGTTATATTTACAATACACAGGAAAGAGATGTTAATGAATGTGTTGAGATGCATTTTTACTGAAGTCTTGCGGCCATCTGTTTTCACAAAATATAGGACCTTCTCGTTTGCAAAATAAAGTAGCTTACAAATTTGCATATTCGACATGGGTTAATTACTACAACAATACATGGATTGCTTAAAAAAATGGTCATGTCAGCTGGCGTCAGCTGTTTCTTTATCCTGTGGGTTTTCTTCCTTTTCTTATAGTTTTCGCATTTAAGTCGCTGTATTCAGATTCAAAATGGTTTCAATGTCTTTTAAACTTGCATGAGCCACGGCAAAGTATTCGAAATAAATGTTCTTCGCCTTTGTTTCAAGTTTTTATCTTCGTAAATGCAATTATGATAAAAATTAAAACCATAATAGGCCTATTTATACGAGCAAAAATAAGCCGCTGCTCATAATTGAATATTAAAGGGGCCCCAATAAGTCACGAACGATTCATATCAACACAAGGTAGCACGCAAGAGTTCGTTTTGCCTGTCTTTTAATCACTTTATTACCTTCGTTTTGTTTTTGTCCGCCATTTTGAAAATATATGCGGTATCATTCATTAATGTATCGCAGACGCTAATCACGAAGACGACGTTCGGCCGAATAAAACTGTTTTAATGGCTTTGTTAAAAGTTATATGTTGGGCTCTCATATTTATTATACGAATTCGTTTTCCGTCTGGCAAATCTGTGGCAACGATATTGAACTTTCAAAAACTAAAAAATCGCGTCGCGTTGTCGAATCGCGTCCGGTACGTGTGTCTGGACCTTAACACTTGCAATGTTCTTTTGATGGATGTGAACGAGTGGATGAGTTATGAATGTTAGGATGAGGGTGCATATATATCAGAACATTCAATTACTCATCTACTCGTTCACATCGACCAGGAGGTGAGTGTAAAGGGGTCGTAATGAGTTTTTACGAGTCGTTCGCGACCTATTTTATAGGCCAGGACTTCTCACTTGATAAGTCTAATACACCACTTCCGAAAAGCACGTTACCTTGGCTATCGAGCATATGCTGTCGAGTCTCGTTTTCATGTATGTGACATTAGGGAGTTTACGATCTACGACGCGGTCAGCTCGGCGATGTCGAGTCAATTTATGCTTGAAATAACCCACAGGAATTTAACCATACTGCTTTAATTGTCTAAAGCGTGTTTTAATCTTACAAATGTTTAAATTAGTCTAAACTACTCCGATGTTTAGCTGATGTTGCCATTCTGTCAACGTTATAAAACAGCTCCAATGCCGCAACGAGCTTTGATATCGCGAGGAAGCCGTGAAAATTACTCGTTTGACGGTGTCCCAAGAATGGCAACGCTGTTGATGAAACTTTTGAGACTACAAATTATTCATCCCTTTTGTCTCCCATGACGTATTTCTTTGTTTTGCAAGCGCGTCGTCGAACTGCCCACGTCGTGAATCGCGTTAAAGCCCAGCGTCGCATTAACGAGAACGAGGCTCTTTCACCAAGATGACGTACTTTGAGTGTAGCATTTAGACCTAACCCCGAGCGGTTGCGAGAAATACAACTATATATAGGCCGTCTGGCAGATGTATAAACTCTTTACACTCGAGATCTCCATCTACAAACACTTCTATAAAACTAACAGTTTAATACCCTACTTTAGGAAAGATGCATCGTTGTTGGAAATGATTTTATGATGAGAACACTGGTTGCCGAATTTGAAGGGGTAAGCAGTCCTTGAACTGTACATATATTATACATATATAATGACCCTTGTGTTTGGACGAATGAGCACCACCCCCCCCCCTCCCCAGGCACTTCTGGAAGGGTATACTGCGAGGTTGGGGTATACTGTATAGTGGCATAACGGAGGTAGAGGGGGCCCTTAGGCATATTTGGTGTGGGGGCTCCTGTTGACTGTTGTCATTGACATTGTTTGATTGAGATATTAAATTTATATTGAATAGTTATAGAATGTTCTGGAAAATTCTGTATCTATAACAATAACAGTCTCCAACACATATAACAACTAATTAATAAGAATAGCTTTTGTTTTATTTGAGATGAAATAAAAAATCAGCTACCGTTGTCGATGGAGGCTTTATTATTTAGCATTTATATTAATTTTGCATTAACCTGTATTTTTTACATTTTCTAATCTTCTGGGCGATAGGCCATAGCTGATGGGAGCCCCTAACTGTCGGGGGGGGGGGGGGGGCTTAGTTTTTGAACTAACCACTGGGAAAAAAAAGTGAAATCCATACTACGGAATTTTCAATTGCACCACTAAATCCATAGTATATCCATACTATTTCGATACTATACCCATACTATGGAAATATACAATTATTATGGACAACCAAAATCCATTCTATTTCCAATGCATTACAATTTCCATTTTATGTT